GTCGGTTTGTGTATGTGTTTTTGTTTTTTTGTTTTGTTTTTTGTTTGTCTGTTTGTTACTCTCTTGTAACACCCTTAATTGTCGGTATTCATATCACCTTATTATGTTGCTAGAGCCGTAAAATGTCCTACTTACACCCCCCCCCCTAAAAAAACACCCTTCCCCAGGTGCCCAGTCTACAGCAGTTTGCCCAAGGAGTGCACTCTGACCCCTGACCCCAACGACCAGTGCTGCATGCAGCCCACCTGTACCGGGAACTTCAAGCCAATCATTGGTGGCTCTGGGCCAACCATGTCCCCAACACTGGACCCTAGCCAGACCAACGTGTTCCCGATCGGCACCCACACAACGCTCACAGGCAGTGAGCTGCCCCCACCACCCGGACCAGGAAATACTATCACAGGACAGAGAGGTGAGAGGGGGTTTTGTTGTTTTTGTATAAAGTATACAGTATCTTAGTAGACTTATTATATAATTGCACTACAAGATAGATTCCTCGAAAAAGTCATTTTCTGTTTTCCATTTGCATCACTTTCCTAACAGCATCCTGATCACCATCATCATCATCATCATCATCATCATCATCATCATCATCATCATCATCATCATCATCATCATCATTATCATCATCATCATCATGTTGGAAATGAAGGAAATGAGGCAGCAGACCAAGCTGCCAATGAAGCCAGAAAGATTTAATGAGACAAACGACCAGTAATATACAGGGAAGTCTTTCCAATGATCAAGAGAAGAATCAGAGACCCACCTTGCAGAGTTGAGTACCAGCACTTTTAGGGTATGTATTCTGGGTACTCCAATAAGCAAGAACAATTAATCACTTGTCGCTAAGACCAGATTGAGCTATCGAGACTGCGGTCGGACCATCATTGGAGCTTGAGATGGTATCAGAACTTTGTGAATAAAGAGCTCAACCAAGGTTTCCGAAAATGCAACCATAAAAAGGAGGATGTCAAACATATGTTTGAATGTCCAGGAACAATGACAACTCGAAAGTAGTTATATGGACGAGTGGGGGTGCCTCTGAGTATAAGGACAAAGGAGCCGAAAAAGAGCCTCGCTCGCGCTCGAAGACTTCTTCGTGGAGTCCACCTGGCCTATTAAGGAAACAAAACAAAAAGTCATCATCATCATCATCATCATCATCATCATCATCATCATCACCATCATCATCATCATCATCATCATCATCATTTTTTGGTAA